TCCCTACTTGAATGCATTTTATTTTATTCACTTGTCTAATTGCATTGGCTAGAACTTCCAGTATGATACTGAAAGGGACTGGAGAAAGTGGGCAGTCTTGTCTTATTCCCGTTTTTAGTGGAAAAGCTTTCAGCCTTTCCCCACTCAGTATTTTAACTATGTGTTTTCCATATATGGCTTTTATTGTATTAAGTAAAATCTCTTCTATACCATTTTTGCTGAGAGTATTAATCTTGAAGGGATGTTGTATTTCGTCAGACACTTTGATTGATATTATCATATGGCTTTACCTTCCCTTCTGTTAGTATGATGTATTACATTTATGGTTTTATGTATGTTGAACTACCCTTGCATCACTAGAATAATGCCATCTTAGTTGTGGTGTATCTTTTTAATGTGTTGTTGGATACAATTTGCCACTCTATTATTGAGAATTCTTACGTCTGTACTCAACAGAGATATTGGTTTGTGGTTTTCTTTTTTGTGATGTCCTTGTCTGGTTTTGCAATGAGGGAGATGGAGACTTCATAGAATGAATTTGAGAGGTTTTCCTTTCTTTTGGATCATTAGAACCCATTTGAGTAGAATAGGAGTTAGCTCTTCTCTAAAGGTTTATGTAATCACCTTTCCTGTTGTACTACATCATTTCATTTTTCTTATTTTATTGATGTCTTAGTACATGTTTGTGTTGCTAACAAATATCTGAGACCGTGCTTTTACAAAGAAGGTAAAAATTAATTTAACTTAATTTTAGAATTTATTTATTTTTAAAACAAAAAAACTTTTACCCATGACAGGGAAAGGGCACGAGGGTGCACACCACTCAGGCAGGTTGTGCCATCAGAGAAGCTATGATGACTGAGGACAGCAGATGACCAGCAGTGGCCATGACCCAAGGCTGCCGCACATCTGCAGAAGGGCTCAGCAGAATTTCCAGCGGTTTCCACACTCGTTGCAGAGGACGAAGGTGGTCATGGGCTCATCAGAGCTGCGGGTTTGGGCCTGAGTGTAGGTGCAACTCTTCCCACTGCACTTGCCACAGGTAATCAGGTCTGTTTGCGTGCCGCCAGTGCGGGCTTTCTGATGTTTGCGGATGGCCTCCCTAGTCATGGCTTTTCGTATCTCCTTCATCTCGTCGCTTGCCATCTCCTCCGCCGTCATCACAGCGATCTGCTGGGGCGTTATGACTCCGCGCAGCACTTTCCGTCGCAGGTCAGGGTTCTTGGCATCCCTCAGGTTGAAGATGCGACTACGCACGCGGTTCTTGTACTTCCCGTCTGTGTTCCCGATGTCACGGAAGATACTTTCCTCAATCTGTGCTGACAGGCTCTCACAGTCCGCACCGAGGGCCACATAGTCAAGATCCTTCTGCAGGGCAGCAGTCAGCATCTCACAGCACTTGCTGCGAATGGCATCACAGGTGACAGACCCTGGGAGGAACGCGGTGATCCTTGGGGTGGTCGGCATTCTCGGCTGCTCTGACTTCTTGGGGCTGGGATCTGTGACCTCAGAGGCATCCTTTGAAGACATGGGCAGAGGCGCGTCTCTCTCAAAATTGCTGGCTTTGGCATCTGAAGTCTTCAGGAGCTTCTTCCAGGACTTGATGAGGGACTTGGCCAGTGCAATAACCTCTTTATCCGAGCTCTGCTTCTGCAAGGCCTTGACAGACATAAACACACGGGTGGACCTGAGCAGCTGCAATGTGATAGGTATGGCCTTCAGCTCTCGGAGCAGGTCCAAAGCTCCCTCCGTGCTTTTCTTGGTCACTAGCTTATCCAGGTGGCGGGTTATCCGCACAATCTCCTCTTGCTTGCCCATTGGGAGCAATGCCGGTACCTTACTATGCAGCCTCACTGCCTGGCTAAGACTGGCTTCAGCTGACACTGCCTCTGGCACAGGGGCCAGATAGAAGTTTATTTACAAACTCACAGTACTGGTGGCTTGAAAATTCAAAGTCCTAGGCCTACAACACAGCAAATAGAAATGCAGAAGTTGTTTGGCATATGAAAAGAAAGAAGTCCTGGCCTCTCTTTTATAGTAACCAGATTTCTCAAGAACTAACTCCTTCCTCTCAGGACAGCTAGAACTGATTGGATCTCAGGAGATATCATTAACCTATCCCTGAGACCATTCCCTCATGATTCAATCAATCAATCACCCTAAGCCAGTCACTGCCCACTATCATTAACCAATCCCTGAGACCATTCCTCATGATTCAATCAATCAATCACCCTAACCCAATCACTGCCCACTCTCATTAACCATTCCCTCATGATTCAATCAATCAATCACCCTAAGCCAATCACTGCCAACTATCATTAACCAATCCCTGAGAACATTCCCTCATGATTCAATCAATCACCCTAAGCCAATCACTTTCCCAGGCCTTATCCCAGGACACCATGAAGCAATTAAGTTTTCATTTCGTTCTTTACAATACAATTAAATTCCAAAACATGAATTTCTGTGGGACATATATTTTTTAAAGAATTATTTCATTTACTTTTATTCATTATTATTATTTTTTTAATTTGACCAGAGAGAGGAGAGAGAGAGAGAGATGGAGCATGGTGGGGAGGAACAAGTAGGAGGGAGAAAGCAAGCCATGACGTCCAGGACTCAAGCTGAGGTCGACCGTGTGAGAGTCGTGCATTTTAACCACCATGCCACTTGCTGGCCCTGGGAGGTATATTTAAACCATGCCAGTCAGGTATGTTTTAAAATGCTAAGTAATAATGATGATCCTGAACATCATATTCATGATGCTTAGAATGTTTCTACTATTTCACCATTAAATATAATGGTATTACCTGTGGTTAAGGTAGATATTCTACACCAAGGAAGTATCCTGGATATCCAACTTTTCCTTTGCATCTAAATCAGAAATGAATATTAAATTATAGCAAATGTCTTCTCAAAAATCTGTTGAAATACACATGGGCATTCTTGACAGACCTATTGATGGAATGTATTAATAATTTTTTAATGCTAATCTTTACATTCCTAGGAAAAAAATTTGATGGGTTAAAGTAACTGATTTTTTAAAATAAACCTTAATAACGTTGCCACTTTTTAAAGATAACTATATTTGAGCCAGCAGTTGGCATGGTGGTTAAGGCACTGGTTGACCATGGTTGAAGGGCCAGACCCGTCCAGTGACTTGAAAATCACTGCAGGCACCCGTGCATGCAAAATCCTGAGAAGAGAAGAAGGAATTGCAGTGTGGCCACCTACCCTGGCGGAAGTGATCTCTCACTTTCCCTGTCTCTGTCTCTTGAACACACATGGTCTTTGGCAAAACATTTAAAAAAAGAAAAGGATAACTATATTTAAAAGTCTACAGGGGCCAACAGGTGGCATAGTGGTTAAGGCCCTGGACTCCCACATGGTCGACCATGGACCTGGTGGCTTGAAACACACACCAGGCATGTGTGTGTGTGCATGTCCAAAATTCTGAGAGAAAAATGGAGAAGAATGGATTGTGGTGTGGCCATCCCCCCCCCACCGGGGGTGTGATTTCTCACTTTCTTTCTCTCTGTCTCTCTGGCAACTGCAAATGCCTATAACAAAAATATTTAAAACAATAAAAAGATAGTTCACAATTTTATTTCTGAAGCTATACTTGTCAAGTTTTGTTAGAAGAATTTTCCTATCACAAAATTAATAAGATAGTACTATCTTTTTATTATTAGACTAAAGAATATAAAAATTATTTATTAAGTTGTTTAGAATCTATATTATCAGTTGAAAAAAATGTGCCTTTTCGTCTTTTGCAGTAATTCTGCAATACGTGGAATTTTCTTTTTGTGGTTTATGATCTATACAAATATTATTCTTTCAAGACAGTGTCTCACTACTCCTCTGCCACAATCTCCCAGTTGAGCCTATAGGCACATGCCACCACACCAGCCACTAGGCTGCACTGAGAGTCAAACTCAGGCCTCCAATGAGATCTCAGCCTACAGAGCAGAGTCTTAGCAGCACATGCCATTGCTACTGGGTCTGATTTAATTTTACTGTAAATTGACAAATTATAATTATGTATTTATGGGTTATGAACTGATGTTATGATACATGTTTACAATGTGGAATGATTAAATAAAGCTTATTAACATGTTCATCACCTTGTTTACCTATCATTTTCTATGGTGATATTCTCAGCAATTTTGAAATACATATGTTATCAGTAACTGTAGTCACCATGCTATGCAATGACTCTTGAAAAAATGTATTCTTCCTATCTAGCTGACGCTATGTAACTATTCGTCCAACATCTAAAAACCCCATTTTACTTCCTGCTTCAATGAATTCAGGTTGTTTTAGATTCCACGTAAAAGTGAGAACACTCCATATTTGCCCTCCTGTGATTGGCTTATCTCACCTAATATGATGTCCTCCAGGTTCATGCATATTGTCAAAAATTAAGGATTTTCTTCCTTTTTAAGGCTGAATTGTATTTAAGTGTGCATACCAAATTTTCTTCATTGATTCATCGATTGAATATACTATAATAATTTAGTATTAAAATCATCCACTTTATCAAGATTTTCAAATTCATAAGTATACTGAGAAATGGGCATAGTATTCTCTTCCTTTGTAAATACAGGTATATCTCTTAAATATTGTGGGTTCAGATCCAGACCACCACAATAAAGGAAATATTGCAATAATCATAACACAAGTCACACATTTTGGGGTTTACTAGTGCATACAAAAGTTGTATTTACACTAAACTGTAGTCCATTAAGTAAACAATAGCATTATGCAAAAAAAAACCCTCTGTACATACATATTTTAAAGATACTTTATTGTTAAAAAATGCTAATGATCATCTGAGCCTTCAACAAGTCATGATATTTCTGGTGGTGGAGGGTCTTGCCTCAGTGTTGGTGGTAGTTGCTGACTGATCAGGGTGGTAGGAGTTAAAGACTGAGGTGGCTGTGATAATTTCTTAAAATGAGACAGCAATGAAGTTTGCTGTATCAATGAACTATTCCTTTCATAAAACACTTCTCTGTAGCAGGCAATGCTTTCTGTCTCTCTGTCTTTCTGGCGATTGCTTGCGCCTTATAGCAAAAACCTCTCCCCCCAACCCAAAAAAAAAAAAGAAAGAATTCTTGAAAGTCAGAATTACTCCCCAAGCCATGGGCTGAAGAATTGTGTTAGAAGCATGAAAACATTAACCATTCTGTATCTCTATCAGAGCACTTGAGTGACCAGGCGCATTGTTAATGAGCAGTAATATTTTGAAAGGAATCTTTTTTCCTGAGTAGTAGGCCTCGGAGGTGGGCTTCAAGTATTTGTAAACTATGCTGTAAATAAGTGTGCTGTCATCCAGGCTTTGTCCTTCCATTAAAACATCATAGGGGGAGTATATGTCTCATAATTCTTAAGGGCCCTATGATTTGGGGGATGGTAAGTGAACATTGGCTTCGACTTAAAGTTACCAGCGGCATCAGACCTATCAGAATCAGCCTTTTCTTCAATACTTTGAAGTCAAGCCTCAATGTCTCCTCTCTTGCTATGAAAGTTGTAGATGGCATCTTCTTCCAATATAAGGCTGTTTCATCTCCACTGAAAACCTGTGGTTTAGTGTGACCACCTCCATCAATTATCTTAGCTAGATTTTGTTGACAACTTGCTGCAGCATTTTGGACAATCGCTACTTCACCTTCCACTTTTATGTTACAGAGATGACTTCTTTTATTTAATGTCATGAATCCATATCTGCTAGTCTCAAATTTTGCTTCTGCAGCTTTTTCATCTCTCTCAGCCTTCATAGGATTGAAAAACGTTGGATCTTTGGTCTAGAGTACTCTTTGGCTTAAGTGACTGTTGTGTCTGGTTTAATCTTCTTTCCAGACCGTTAATACTTTCTCTGCCAGTAATAAGGCTGTTTCACTTTCTTACTATTCATGTGTTCCCTGGAAGAACATTTTTAACTCCTTTACTTCAAGAATACTTCCTTTGCATTTACAACTTGGTCCACTCTTTGGCCAAGAGGCCTAGCCTGGGCCTATCTAAGCTTTTGACATGCCTTCTTCACTAAGTGTAATCAATTCTAGTTTTTAAATTTAAAGTGAGAGACATGTGACCCTTTCACTTGAACACTTAGAGGCCATTGTAGGATGATTATAATTTCAATATTATCATGTCTCAGAAAGTAGGGAGCCCTGAGGAAAAGGAGAGAAATAGAGGAAGCTGGTTAGTATAGCAGTCAGAACACACACAAAATGTATTCAGTTCACTGTCTTTCATGGGCACTATTCCTAGAGCCCCAAAATAATTACAATAATAACATCAAAGGTCACTGACCACACATCACCAAAACAGATATAATAATAATGGAAAAGTCTGAAATATTGTGTGAGGATTACCAAAATGCGATACAGAGAATACAGAGACACGACGTGAGCACGTGCTACACAGTGTTGGAAAAATGGTGCTGATAGATTTGCCCAGTTCCGGGTTCCCACAAACCTTCAGTTTGTTAGAAATGTAGTATCTGCAAACCATGACAAACCACAATAAAATAACATATGACTATCAGTGCCCTATGCCTTGATTATATTTACTATATATTTTTCTGCTATTTCTGACATTTTTTTAATTGCCAAAGAGGACATGTACTCACCAGACAGAGAGAGCAAGGACTCTTCAATGGGGCATGGTCAGGCCACAATCTTTTCTCTTGCATCTGTTCACCTGTCAGGGTTTGAGGCATACATGCACATGGGTCCTGCCTATTTATCAAGCTATCAGGGCTGAGACTCAAACCAGCTACATGTTGGGGCCAGCCCTGTCTTTATTTCCAATTC